TTTGTAGAGCTGGCTTCAACTTACAATTAGATTTATAGTACGGAGAGAACTACTGTTCTCTCTTCATTACTGCAGGGTTACGGTAGGAACTCGCAGCATATGGTGCCATTGTGAGATAGGCCGTTCGGAAAGATTTTTAGAAATTTTTAAAAATCGTGTAACAAGGTTTTCAAGCATGATGATCTTCACTGCATAGCTTTTACGCGCCCAAAGCTCCTCAAATGGCGTAATCCAACTTTTGACAAATATCAGAAATCGCCTGTTACGGTATATCTGGCATGACTTGGGAAAAAAGCGTTACGGTGACTAGCGAGCCTCATGATGAAGTCAGCGATCTGATGTCTTAGTGTAGGAGTTTTCAGCTTCTTTATTCCTTTTTGGGGGTAAGATATGACCCTCGTTAACGCAAAATTCTCCTCAAAGTTGCTGCCACAATCCTACAATAATGAAAAGAGAACGGTAATTCGCTCCATGTTGTCAATTTAAGTTAAAGGCACCTCCACAAAATGTACCTGATTCTCGAAACTTCGAAAAAACTAAAACATGAGAGGTATTAAACAAATCAGACAGTAGGCACACCTTTTGAGATAAACTGTATAGGAATTGTCCGGTCTCCAAATCGGGTGCGGCATCGTCAGATCGGGTGTTGATCCTGATCAGGAATTAGCACCCGATCTGATGATTCATAGCTCCTCTGGCATTGCATCGTTCATGATTTTTGTATAAAAACCAGCATTCAACTTCATAATTCAGGCTTACATATTTTGATCATATGCTCCCACATTTTCAAGATTTCGAAAATGAGATCATTAACCTCATGTCTTGTGTCAATTATCTTGATACCCAAGCTCTCAGCAGCTACCAAAATTGGTGAGATGTGACCACCGCACAATACAAAGATCTCCTTGACGTCATGTGACTGAAAAACATATTTAAAACATGCAGACAGCGAACAAGAACTACGTCACCTTCAACACTGACGCCACTAGTTCCCCTCCATGCCGCTTTGAGTTCTCATCTACCTTAAAAAAAGATTCAGATGGTAATCTTTCACATGATAAAAATGCAAAAACTTCTCATACCTGGAATAGATTTGAGAAGAAATGTTGACCATTGTCACTGCGAAGAAGACGAGCAATGTTGGTGAGATCACGAACGGAGCGAATATCTAGCCATTTCCACAATAATAAAATTAAAGCTGCTAAGAATAGTAGAGGTATGAGCATAGCTGAAATAAAAAACAATGTGCCAAAATTCAGATAAAGCGTTGACAGTTTGCAGTATAGTATGTGACACGCGCGAACAAAACGAGACATAAGTCAACCATATGCATTAGACTGTTTCAAACTTCAACCCCTTCTTCATTCCAAATCAGGTTATGTTTCGCAAAGTGGAGGTTTGTACAAAGACAGTTCTTCGATTTCCGCCTATAAAATCTTTTCCGTTGTTACTGCAGTGGTTCGTGAGGATGCATAGAAAAGCCAAAAATTTGTATATCGCGACAATCACCGCAATCGCAAAGAATAATTATGAAAAGGATTCTGATTCAAACCCGAAGTTCAGAAACTGGTAGAACCTTTGATT